TTGTTTCCACTTTCATGGCCAGTTTCTGGACATCTCCCAATGTCCAGTACTGTTGCAGTTGCACCACATTGCTAATGGCAGATTTCAGACCTCCCAAGTTATCTAGCCATCGTATGTATCTCTGGTTTTGTCTGTTTACATGTTAGTTGTAAATGTTCGAATTGGGTTATGAACTCTTCAACTGAAAGATCTTTCTGCTGCAAGTTGTGGAGCTTCAGAGACATCCTGGCGATAGTGGGGTGGGAGGTACTTTTTTTGCCTTACCCTCTTCATGTTCTCCCACCTAGTGATCTTTTTAGTGCCTTCTCTTTGCCTCTACACATTTTCCCACCATAGGGAAGCGTTCTCCTTTAGCTTAATGGGGACTAGCTTGACCCGCCTTTTCTCTAGTACCTCCTTATATTCGAAGATCCATTCAACAGTTTGTAGCCACTCAAGGAATTCATCCAGATCCATGCCTCCTTCAAACTCGAGTAAATTACGTTGATCCCATTGTCTCTGGTTCTTCTACTTGTTTCTCCTCTCGGTAATTCTCCCTTTGGGAGGGATTCAAAGATTCCTCTCTAGGCCTTCTCTAATACTAGATCCCGAAACATCGTGGTCTGCCTTCTTTATCACCAAAAGTCTCCACATGGAAGGGATTCAAATTGTCAGTTCTTTCTCCCCTTTGACACTCCAGATTCGGGTCGAAGGTGGTCTCCACCTGTGTTACTTCTTCAATCTCCGCAAGTCTCTGTTGAAGACGATAGAGCTCTCTCCTTAACTCTTCCTGGGTAGGCTCGGGCATGCATCTCTGGGGTGGCATGGCTAGGGAATAAAGAATAGGAAAGAAGAATTTTATTGGGGTTAGGGTTTGGGTTGTTGAAGGTATATTTAGCGGTAGGAAAGAGGCTTTTGGTTTATAGCGGATACTTAGAAACTCTAGGATAGAATTAAAGTTGGACTAGCTCTGATATCAAATTATACCAATTCTAGTAAGGGAAACAGTGAGAACATAAAAATAAACTTTCATTAACATTAAAATAGGATTACAACATGACTCGAACGGAAATAACAACATAAGATATAAAACGATACAAAAAAACAGTCCTAAATGTATCCCATTGGGTGATGTAGGTTGGCTAGGGGGATAGGAATGATTAGGAGGGATGACGACAGTCACAGGATGTAGATGGTAGCAAAGGAAAGGTGTGGAACTATAGGGACAATAACTGTGAAGGGTTTTAGGTGGTTGACAGCGGTAGTGAGGGGTGTTGGGAGGAGCTTGAAAGGAGTTAGGAATGTGGGACAACAATAATAACTTTCATGAAGGGGGAATGGTTTGGTTTTGGAGTGACGGTGGGAGAGTTCAACGGTGGAGGAGTGTGGAGGAGAAGATTTGGAGAAGGTGAAAGGAAGGATACGATCACCACCTCGGAGGAGGTACAACCAGAGTACCACTTTCTTCTCAGTTACAACCCACAATGGGGAAAGTGACTCCATACAGGAGATATGAAACTGAACACAATAAGAACTGACTTTCCACACACATAGGACGACAACAATTTATAGGTTCCCTCGGACGAAAAAAGTTTCTATACAAAGGAAAGAGGTGGAAAAGACGAGGAATCTATAAAACTCTTCCCATAAAAGAACAGTGCGAACTGATACAATAAGAACTAAAGTTGGACTAGCTTTGATATCAAATGATACCAAAACTAGTAGGGGAAACCGTGAGAACATAAAAATAAACTTTCATTAACATTAAAATAAAATTGCAACAAGAACGTAAATCACAACACAAGATATAAAACGATACAAAAAAACAGTCCTTAATGTATCCCATTGGGTAATGTAGGTTGGCCAGGGGGATAGGAATGATTAGGAGGGATGACGGCAGTCACGAGAGGTAAATGTAGGTTGGCCAGGGAGATAGGAATGATTAGGAGGGATGACGGCAGTCACGAGAGGTAGATGGTAACGAAGGAAATGTGTGAAACTATAGAGACAATAAGTGTGAAGGGTTTTAGGTGGTTGACAACGGTAGTGAGGGGTGTTGGGAGGAGCTTGAAAGGAGTTAGGAATGTGGGACAACAGTAATAACCTGCATGAAGGGGGAATGGTTGGATTTTGGAGTGATGGTGGGAGAGTTCAACGGCGGAGGAGTGGGGAGGAGAAGGTAAAACAGAGGATACAATCACCACCTCGGAGGGATACAGTCAGAGTACCACCTTCTCCTCAGATACAACCCACAATGGGGAAGTGACTCCACACGGGGGATATGAAACTGAACACAGTAAGAACCGACTTCACACACACATAGAACGACAACAATTTATCGGTTCTCCCGGACGGAGAAAGCTTCTACGCAAAGGAAAGAGGTGAAAAAACGAGGAATTTATGAAACTCTTCCTAGAAAAGAACCGCACGAAATAGCCCCTTTGGATCGTGTTGCCTCTTCACGGATCGGAAAATTTAGTGATCCCCTGTTTTCACGCGGGTTCTCCCTCTTTCGCGACTTCGCGCGGTTTCCTGCTCTCGCAAGAAGTCTCACGAGGCTTTAATGTTGCAGGATCAAAGGGCCCCAGCGCCCGCATCAGCTTCTTTGTGGTAGGAAAATTTACAGAGACAGAAAAAGAGAAGACTGATAAGTTTACTAAGTGAGAAAAGATAAAAAAAACAATGCAGAAGAAATACCGTCACATCATTACCGTTAGGACATGTTTTTGAGGCTCTACCATCTGTAGCAGAGAGACATTTCAGTAGAGGAGTTCACAACACAATTTGATTGACTGCAAATGAAGTGTGAACTAGTTAGCCAGAAGAACGCACTATAGCCCGGTACATTGGGGGCCTGAAGCCCACTATTAGCAATGTTGTGCAGTTACAACTATACTGGTCGTTGAGGGATGTACAAACTTTAGCCTTGAGGTGGATAGACAACAAAACAGTACAGACAACAACCATCATTTAGGCAGCATATGTCAGTTAGACAGTTATCCACGGCTATCGGCTAATGGGTTCAACATGTTAAGAAGTCTCAGTCCAACAGGAGACTAGACCGGCCCCTCTCCCTCTTTCATTGGGGGGAAATTGCCGCCCAAATTCCTTCCATTCATTTTCTATTTTTTAGCCTATATATATAATATAAATGTGTGTTTGCTGAGTTTTGGGTTTATTCTAGTTTGATTTCAGCTTTCTGCCTGTAGGCATCTTTTCCTGCCGAGGTTTTATCTAAGGGCAGGTTGTGCTCCAGTTGTATCATGTTCAGACGTGGTATTTATCTCTTTGACTCCCTTCATGATTCCCTCCTTGCTCCAAGTTGCTGGCCACCTTCCACTCCTGCTCCCTGATCCAGTCGCCAGCCTTTCCTCAGTTTTTCTGCTCCTAGCTGCAAGCCTGTTGCCTTCTAACCTGCATTGTCGCCACAAACCCCACTGCATCCTCCTTGCTTGTTGTCGGCCTCTCCCACCTCCCTACTGAGCCGCACACAACACTGCCCACCTCTACGACGTTGGTCTCCCCCCCTCTTCTAATCCTTCTCGGATTGCCTGCACCCATCTCCCCTCACCCCAACCCCACTCCCCACTCCCCACTCCCCACTGTCTCCTACCATATTCCAAGCACTCTCACCTTTAACCAAGCACTTTGCCCTTGTTTAACAACTATCTCGCCTGCCCTAGCGGGGAATTTATTGGTATTGTGTCTTTTTTCTATTCTTGTTTGTGTCTTGAATGTAACACATTGTTTTGAATAATAAAATTTACTTTCCTATTGAATCTTTCGGTCAATTTTGGTATCACTTGTAATGCTTTATGGTGCAAAATGTTAGTCTGTAAAAGAGAAGCACAAAATTAAGTGTTGCCTAGATAAGAATGCCCAGGTGTATGAGTGGATTTACACTTAAAGATAAAATACAAAACTTATATATATCAGTGAAAGGGATTGGTAGCTACAGTGACAGACAAGATTAGAAAGTGCTGCTTTAGAGGGGTTGATCGCATTAAACGTCGACCATCTAATGACCCATTTAGGGACGTAGATGTTTTAAATTTAACTTATGCTAAAAAAGGTAGAGGTAGACCTAAAAAGACTTGGATGTATAAAAAATGATCTTAATTTATTAGAGTTAAATGAAAATATGTCACTTAATAAGACAAAATGGAGAAAAAGAATTCATTTAGTCGACCCCACTTAGTGGGATAAAGGTTGTTGTTGTTGTTGATAAATGTCTTCTAGTGCAAATTTCAATGAATCTGATTTAAGAAATACTACGTAGGAGTATTACTTTTTGTTTGGGGTATTAGAAGCCACCTACTTTTCCATCTTGTTTAATCAATGCTCAAATATTATGAAAACGTTTTCAAATTAAACCACCAATTTAGTTTTAGGCTGTGAATCAGCATCAACACTCACTAAAGCAACAAAAATGCTATTGCAGTTTCTGCTTTAAATATTTCAATATTTTTGCTCCAGCCTTAAAACAGGAATATTTTCCTTGCCAAAGCTGACCACCATGTCATCTTCCTAATAACCCTAAATCATCTGTAATGGTTATTTATAATATTGAAGGTTATAAGGATAAGGATTATCTCTGTTTGTAAAATTATATTTTTAATAACAGTCATTTAAACCAAATCTAATGTCCTTCATGTGAAGTGACGTTTTTTGCAAGGGTTCAAAACTTGAAATTCAACTTAAGAGTTCAAAGGCAATAGTACCATTCAAACCAGTAGCTAGGCAGCGCCTCATGTTAGTGTACCATAAAAACTAAGCTATTTGAGATTTTCTATATTTGAGAATCAAAGCATAACTTCTTCAATCTATAAAATCAAGCTTTTTATAAAATCTTGGTAATCGATAGCATGTTCTTTTCTCTGATTAAATGATAGTGTTTGCAGTCAACTAGCTTGCAACAAGGTTCATATGCGTCTTTTGGTGATATTGACCATTTCTTTTCAAGTTTTCTGGTTTTACTCGCTGGTGATAAGGAATGATAACAATCTATTTTCTGGTTCTAGAAATGAAACACATGAGGTGATCAAGTATTTGGAATACTCTGTCCATCATTTGCATAATGAAGATCCTGGAGTCCACAACTTGCTGCTTTCCTTGTATTCAAAACAGGTTCTGTATAATTGACTCTACAATCTCTATGCGGTGCATCATCTGTTATTTCTTTATTCCTGCAATGCAACTTTATTTTGCTTGTCTAGCATGTTTCCACATAATCTGACCCTCTTTTAGTGGACAGTCCACTAGTCTAAACTGCCTTTAACCGGTGTCCTTTTTCCTGTTTCATGCAGAAGAATCGTCTAACTCACCCATTCTTTCTTCTTTCATTTAGTTTTATCTGTAATGCCTACTGTCTACACTAAAAGTCGGGTTTAGATGAGTTTGCTCATTTGCAAGCTTAACAATATCCAAATTTTGTGTAATCTATCCATTGTTTAGGTTTTCTGTCATCAATCTGATCTCCTTAAGCTTCAATAGCCATATGTGAACTCCCAAGTGTGTGAAACTCCTTAACCACATCAGCTTATAAAACAGATGATAATTAAAGTATACTAGTCAATGGTCATTGTTCAAGCACCATGCCTTTTTTTCAATCAAAGCAAATATAGGGAGGACATACTTTCTTTTCTTTCTATTCATTTTAGTCTTATTTTATAAACTCATTGGCTTTGTTGCTTGGATATTTTCGAAGAAGTATTTGACATCTAAATTGGTTATGGTAGAAATGGTAATATGAAGATGTTGCATGTGATTTATATATAGGATTATTCATTATAATACATAAAGTTTTGCTTAATGACAGCATTTGTGCAACATTTTAATAACTCATTTTTCGCACCTCACAAAAAGATTATTACAGTTATTTTTATAAAATTTTATATTTTGTTAGGATCAGTAATTCTATGGATAAAACCATTAAGTCTAAGTTTTTTTTAATATGTTACTGTTCTAGGATTTAATTAATCCTTCATTCTATTAATTCACTGTGGCATTCCAATTCCACTTGTGCAATCGAGGATTGGCTAATTGGAAAATGTAGGGCTATGACGGATTTATTGTAATCACTGAAAAATAAATAAATTAAAGTAAAATAAAAAGAATAAGTTTCATTGGATCTATGTTGGTTCAAATCAATCGTCGCCTCTAACAATTTCTTCTTAAGTACTCATTCGAACTAAAGGGATGAAATTGAGAGTGAGAACGACACAGCAGAAAGCGAGCAAGAGACAGATAATGAAGAAGAAGTTCATGTGTGAAGATAAAGAAGGAAACAGAAGAAAGGGCTTTCGAACCCTAGTCTAGGAGGGAGATGAATCTTACCTTGCATGCACATGCCTAATCGAAGTCCTGCGTGCATTGTTCTTTTTTTAGTGATGCCATGAATGGGGGAGATATTCAACGCAAAGAAGAAGATGGGAGACTGCTCTCTAGGAATTTGACATGGGAGAAGCGAAGGATGGAAGGAGCTTATCAAGCAACTCTACTTGTGTGAGAGGGGAGCGCCTGCGTGCTATCGAATCTAACGATAAGAAATGGATGCAAGTGTGCCTTTACCAAGGAAGAGGAGTGTCATGCATGTGAGAAGCCGAACCGTGTGAAGGAAGCAGGGGAGACAAGCCGCGTGCGAAAGAACCAAGCTTAGCAGTGAAATAAGTTAAGATTGGGATTTTTTGGCTTAAATTAAAGATTGTAATTTAAATTGAAAGTTTTTTATTTTAATTAATGTCAAGAAGCCTAGCGAATTACGTGTGGTTTCCTTGGGGCTTTAGAGTGCCGATTCGAGTAGTGCTATAAGAGGGAGCCAACTTATTTGAGGTTATTTAATGTAATTCCTTTTAATTATTTCATGTTTAAATCTTAAATTTTGATTTTTATCTATAAGGATATTTATTTATAGCTTTTGTATAACTAATTTAATAACAATAATAATAATAGTAAGGAGAATTAATAAAAATTTATAAGTTTCGTAAAAAAAATAATTTACTAAATATTTTTGGAATTTTTTTATATAACATAAAAATATTAAGAAATTATAAGAGAATTTATTTAAAAACTATTAATTCAATCCTATTTAATGCTTTGGAGGGATGATTCAATGTGAAGTAAAATAATGAATTTGAAGAGACTAAATACTTATTGAAGATAATTGAAAGCAAACATAATTATAATAATAGAAATAATATTTGTAATAACTTACTAAAGATTAATGATTCAATTAGAAAATATAAGTTATGAATTGGGAAATAAAATTTTAATGAGATATATTAAATAGGTAATAAACTAATTCAAGAAAATAAAGTAAATATGTAGAAGTTATAAGATTAATAATTAAACCAAAATAATGTATTAAATTATAATAACTAATTAAAAATAATGAAATTAAATATATAAAGTTTATTCAACCATAATTAAATTTAATAATATGAATTCTTCTTATTTTGTAGGCGCCAGTTTAGAGGAGTTGGAGTTTAAGAGTGCATGAAGGTTGCTGACAAGCTAGTTCAACAATGCGATTACTTGTACTTTTAAACTATAATAGTATTTAGTGCTTTTTTTTAATCTGTTATATTTTCTAATTTAATAGATTTTATATTGCAAGACTAAATTTAAAATAATTTATTTGTTCTTTAAGTTCACTTGGTCATATTGAATTGTATGTTACTAATATTTGTATATCTTCATTACCTCATAATTTAAGGTATTATATTATGTGCTATTTGTTATGAAAAAAGTGAGTCTGACTATTATGATTGTTGGTATGTGCATGCTGAATATGATAAAGTTCACCCATTTTTAATAACAGCAGGGTAGTTTAAGGTACCCGTGCACGTAAATAAAAAATATTATTAATATTGAAATGTCTAAACTAATATAATTTTAGATAGTGATTCTGTGGCGTTTGTATATATATTTGAAATATATTGATATGTGAACGCTATAGCTAGACACAACTAATGTTTAAAATCACTTTGAATGACCATATTAAATAATATAAACCATCAAATATTTTTATATTGATTTATTTTTAAGTTTAGCTAGCGTGCATATTTTTTTCCTTTTCATTGTATTACTATAGCTTAGGAGTATAAGTATTAACTGGCTATTGATAGCTTACTTTTATTTTAAACTAGCAATGTCATGTTTAAGGCTTGGGTTAGAGTTTGAACGCAAGAAGAAGTAATGCCACAACCTAAAGAAAGGTAATTCTCAATTGATTTTATTTAAATTTGTTGGTGTTTCTTTCAAATTATTCTGGATTTTAAAATGTTAGTAATATAAAATTAAAATAGAAGTTTTTTAGCACCTTTTGACCGTCTATTCCTATCTTGAAAAATTTAAAGCCTTAGGTCGGGTCGTGACAGTTATTATTGATGTATGTATATATATCCATGTATATTGAATTGATTAACTTAAGTAAGCACTCAATTGTCGATCGCTTCGTAACTGGGCTGAAACTTTAGGCTGAATTGAAGAAAAATGGGAAAGGTGAGTCTCGAGCTAGGTTTTTAAGGCAAAATTTAATTTTTATTTTTGTTAAACAAACCCCAAATCGTATTAGGCTTCACTGCTTGTATGAGGAGAAGTCCTTTTGAGTTAAAATGTTTTAGGGTTAATTTTATCTACAATTGAAGAAAATATAATAAATCAAGGAGTTTCCATTTCCTAAATTGGTTACAAAAGGACAAGATTTTGGGGTGACTAAACGAAAGCTTGTTTTGTGGACAATCATCATTTGAGTGCTATACTTAATTCTAACCTAAAAAGCAAGCTAAATTTGGTTTTTCATGCTCAAACTTATATGTGAAATTTTAATAAAATTGTAAACAGGATTTGTGATGTAAACAAGATTTTCAAAATTCTTATATAGCAATGTTATAAATATATGATTGTGCATCTTGTTAAAATTATGAAAAGCATAATTTGGGGCATGTTAACCTATATTATACTATTGAATATTATAGGTTGACAATGAAAGAAAAATGAGTTAAGTTAATAATTTTATGATGACCTGTATAGGTGAGGTGGCAAAAGTGAGCCCATATTTAAGCAAAATGGTCAACGTATTAATGACAATTTGTACAGGTAGGGTGATAAATGTGAGCCTATATTTAGTTAAAAGAGTTCAAAGAAATGATATTTTATGATAATTTGTAGAAGAAGTGGGACAAATGTGAGCTTATTGAGGCAAAATGGTAATAAAATGGATATGTTTATCGTAACCTGTACAAGTAGGATGACAAAGATGAGCACTTTTGTGTAGCCAATGAACTTAACCCACATTGATGATATATTATAAATTTAAAAGATGACCTTCTCTTCTATGTTGACTTCATGATTGAAATGAGAAAAATGAGATTCATGAAACGATTAGACTAGCATGATATCACATGTATTATGATAAAAATAGTGTTTATACCATTGTAATTTCTAATCTTCAATTAAGGCCTTTTTAGTTAAATTTCTCAATGTACAATTATACAAACTATTATGCAGCTAATTTCATTTTACAATGATTAGAAGATATTAGACTAGTCATGATACTTATTTTTATTTTTAATTAATTATGTATTGAGCTGTTATCTGGATGTGCTTATAAGCTAACTTGATATTTAGTTAAATGTTGTTTTATTTAAGAAAAAAAAGTTAAAATTGAGCTTTGATGGAAATTAGGACTTTGATTAATTACTTTTTATTTTGGTGTAAGATAAAATTGATTAGGTATGTATATGACGATGTGTTTTTGTATTATGTAAATAAACTGGATGTTTATTGTATGGATGAAATTGTTTTAGACTGTTTTCACATAATTTCATGTATTGGTCTATAAACTTCAGTGAGTTAGAAATTTAGTTGTAACATTTATTTGGTTTGCTGTGATCAATTTTATCACTCTTTTTTGATGATTTATTATTCAGAATGAAAATTGGTGATAAATTTAGTCAGATGGCATGTGCTCGTCTCTGACACCTTTTGATTGACTAGGAGTGGCCATTAATCTAAGAAACATTTTACTATTAACAGTAATTAAAAATAAGGTTAGTGAAAACAAGCTTGTTTACTTGGGCTTGCAATACTCCTTACAAGACACATCAAACATAACCGAATTTCAGGTAGGTTCCTTTTCCCATCCACCTGCTCAGAAAATTTTCGTAAAATCTGTTTCTCCAGGTTACACATATTGTAGCAGATCATAGTGCACAACCCGATCATTGCACCGAAGAACTTCTAAGAGTTCAAAGGTGTAAGTTCTTCGGTGTAACTTATCTCTGTGACTTAATCTCTGTATAAAGTGATCTTGTTAAAGTTTTTAGTATGAATTTAGCAGTTTTATTGGAGATATTTATATTATAGATTTGCAGCATTATGAAAGGAAAACCTTGTGTGAATTTCATATAATAGGTTTATTTAGTACGAACATCTTTCACTATATGTCTTTTTTCTTATGCTGAACTAGTGGCATTGTTTCAAAATTTTAAATTTTCTTTAATATCCGTTCATGTTATCTTTTGCTTGTCTTTATACATATGATTTTTGGTAGTCATAACTTCAACTTAGTGGGTGATTATGATATGACAAAATATCATTGTCTTTGTCAAAATAAATAATTCTCTTCTTAAGTTTCAACTATGGTACTTTATTAATTTATAACTGATAGAAACCTACTAACTCAGGAGGATGAAAGCATGCTTTTGAGATTTTTGCAATGCAAATTCGGGAAGGGACGAGTTGATGGGCCTGGTTTTTTCTACGATCCTAAGTATGCTTTACGCCTATGCCTTAAGGAGAAAAGGATGCGTGCTTGTGTTCATATCTATAGTATGATGTCCATGCATGAAGAAGCTGTAGCTCTTGCTTTGCAGGTAAAGTATGCTTAATGATTTATTTTGTTTATAAATAGTTGTTTTCATCAAATTGAACTTGATGTTGCCCATTTGTAGTGACTAAGTGCATGTAGTGTTGTTAATTGAAGCTTTTTGGTTAATATGTTTTTGGTGAAATAAAGATAGGTTTGGGACATAGAGTTCGCCATTTAAAACCAAGATGATACTTTGCATGTGTACTATAATGTGCTCAGTTTTTCATTTCACTTCCTGGCTTTTTATGTTCTTGATGAGCTTCGATGAAGTGTTTATATACTCTTTGGGTTGCTTGCGTCTTTCTAAATTCTTTCCAAAAATGCCCTGTAATCTTCAATTATGGGGAAAATTTTTAACATTGACCTCCATATTTGTGGTTGGGCAATGAGTCCTGTGTTTAATGGCCCTGAATTGCTATTCTGATGTCTTATTTTTGCTGTACCCATCTTTGATATAGCTGCCTTTTCTTTTGCTGTTGCTTCTGCATTAGGCATTTTTTTTCTTATGGATATCTTCTGGAGAAATGAGGATTTTTTTTTTATGAATCCACAATTATGTGTAGATTACTGGTTATTTGCGTTGCCTTTTTTTTATATATATTTTGTTTTCTTGAAAAGTATGTGCGTGCACGAGCGTGCACACACACACACACACCCCTTTGGAATTATTTTTTTCATTCTGCTGGTCGTTGCATTTGCCATAACATGGTTAGCTTCCATTATGTTCAATTTTTTAAAATATTCACGAAAAATATTTTAGTCCAATTTTTGTGATGTTTCCTGGCAGCTTCTAATCATTTCACTGTAGCTTGGTCTTCTAGGTAGACCCAGAACTTGCAATGGCTGAAGCAGATAAAGTTGAGGAGGATGAGGATCTGAGGAAGAAGCTATGGCTTATGGTTGCTAAGCATGTGATTCAGTTGGATAAGGGAATTAAGAGGGAGAATATAAGAAAGGCAATTGCATTTTTGAAGGAAACAGATGGGCTTCTGAAGATTGAGGATATTCTTCCATTTTTTCCAGACTTTACGCTTATTGATGATTTTAAAGTATGTTTCCAATACTTCAAGCATTATATTCTCCAGGGCTTTTACTTAATATACAATATAATGCAAGTTGTCATCAAAATTTCTTGGAGTGGTGCTATCACATTTCTCTCTTTTATATTCTTCCTGGTCTGAAAAAGTAGCCTGCAGTGGCAGTTTGTTTTATATGCAGTAATAAATAAATTAAGGACTTTTCAGTGCTTATTACTTTTTACAGTTCAGGAAGCTGATAGAATAAATATCTACTGTTTCAACAGCTTTATAATTTATAAATGAGCTTTCTGTGGCACTTGATTTGTTTCATAACATGCTAATGGGTAGCCTTTTTTTATGCATAAGAGGCTGTCCAAACTTCTGTTAATCTTGAAAACAATAGTTCAGAATATAAAGTTTTAGAGATTATCATGTAGGCTAATCTAAACTACAGTTTGTGTAGATGCTTAAACTATGTGATACCAGAGTTAATCAAAACAACAATAGGAACACAAATATTATTATTGAAAAGAGCAATAGACGGTTACAACCAAACACTTGAAAGGGAAATGTAACTTTAAACTAACAAATGCAACTAATCTGTATTCAAAGGTGGTGGTCGGTTTGGTGAGGGAATGGCAGGAGGAAGGTGACGAGGGGGTGGATGGTTGTAGGAGGAAGGGGAAGTTACGGCGGAGTGCGATGGGGAAAGGTGGAGGTTGGCCGGCTGAAAGACAGCAAGTAGGGGCGGTTTGAGCGCTGTTTGGGCAGCTGCAACAGGCAAGAATAATGGCGGCAGCAATGTATATTGCATGGGACTGTGGTCCCAGGCTGTGGGAGCAAAAGGGATGGCTGGACAGCGAAGACTGGCGGTTGGAATGATTGGCAGCAAGGTGGGAGTTGGTTGGAAGGGATGGCGGCGGGTGGAGGAGATAGTGGCCGGTTGTTGGAGTTGCAAGACGACAGCAAGGTTGTTGTCTGGTGGTTTCGGCAGCAAGGCGGCGGCTACAGCAAGAGGAGGAATGCAAAGGATGGAAAAGCCGGGGATAAATACCTCCGGGAGAACAATCTACAGTAGGAGCACCACTTGATCCCTTGGAAGGAGATCACCACCTTGGACGAGCTACAGTCAGAGCATCACCCGCATTTGGATACAGATCTGAAAGGGGAAGACCTGGATGCTAACGACTGTCCTGACAAAACACAATTCAAAACTGACCTTGAGTATGAAAACAACATACATATAGGCCTAGCGTAACTAAGGAGTTGACCTCACTCCAACTGGGCGGTAAATTCACGTAAAGGAAGGGTCGATTGGCCCTCTTGGATCAGTCCAAGCCCCTGCACACTCATGAAATCCTGCATTTGAATCAGGATATGATCCCTTGTCCCGCTCGTAAGCAGAAGATGCTCCCTCGTCATGATATACCTTCATAACTCTGTCAATAAGGATGTAGCAGAAACTAATTTTTTTTAGCCTAACCATTAGAATGACAGATCTCAGCATGCTTAAAATCTTGTAACTTATATGGTGAATGAATTTTCCTAGCATCCTCAATTGGTAAATTCTACTTTCAAATTGTTTGAGTGCTCGAGCAGCTGTAGGCTTTTTTGAATGAACATTTTTCTTTAAGGACTAGATCCAGAATCATTCTTTCTGTTTGACACGAAGTAAAATTATCTATTATAATTCTGTGAATTCCGCTTTCATAATATGCTTTTTATGCTCCTAAAATCTTTTTTTCCATGGAGATTCAGAAGTTCTTTCTTTACTAATTCAGGAAGCAATTTGCTCATCGCTGGCGGACTACAACAAGCAGATTGAATTATTAAAACAGGAAATGAATGATGCTACACGTGGTGCTGATAACATAAGGAGTGATATCACCGCCCTTGCTCAAAGATATGCTGTTGTTGAACGTGATGAAGAATGTGGGGTATTGACCCAAGCTTTTATCTTGGTTTGCCCATTTTTACATTTTTTTTTCCTGATCTATTTTAAATCTTAAAACACATTCATTAATTTGTTATTTGAAGTTTATATTTAATCTCCATCTCTTTTGACTGCACATTCATTAATTTGTTGAAGTTTATATTTAATCTCCATCTCTTTTGACTGTGTAGATTATGTTTTTTTTGTTTCCCTTGCTGAATGCTTACTTGCACTGCTTCTGTGCTGACTATCTTCTTTGATGATTGAAAAAGCCTTTTGAACATTTTTGTACCCAAACCTAAACTGACATTCCATGTTCTTAAGACAACAATATTAATTTTAACTTTTATTCTCATGTTTTTCTTTTTCATTGAATTTAGGATCAAAGTAATTTATGCAAAACTAGAGCGTAGTTATTGGTGCGATAAGTAGAATCATCAGTTTTAAAATAGTTAATTATATCATAGTGGAACTGCTCATCTTTCTCTAACATGGCAATGTTTTGTTAGATTTGTAAACGCAAAATATTATCCTCTGGAGGGGCTCATCAGATGGGAAGAGGTTATATGCCAATTGGACCAATGACGCCATTTTATGTTTTCCCTTGTGGGCATTCATTCCATGCGCAATGCCTGATAACTCATGTCACTCAGTGTACCCCTCAAAGCCAAGTGAGTGAAATGATCTATACTTTCTTGTATTATTATTATCTGGTTGGCCAATTACCTTTTCATTTCTACTATTATTCCTTGGATATCAGCTTTATTTCTGAAGTTAAAGTTATCCATTAAACCTTTAGAAATTTTGGTTTAACTTGCATGTGTTACACTGATACCAGAGCTAGTAGGGGAAATAGTGTAAACACAAAAAGTAAACTTTCATTAATATTAAAATAGGGTTACAACATGACTCGAATAGAAATAACAACACAAACACAAAAACGACTTAAGCAACCACTCCTAAATGTATTCCAATGGGAGGTGGAGGTCGGCGAGGTGGGTCGGGATGACTAACTAGTGTGGTCACACCAACAGAATGCTGGTGGCAGCGAGGGTAAGGTGCGGAACTATAGGGATAGCAAGTAAAGTTTAGGTGGTCGACAATGATAGTGGGGTGGATGGAAGGAGCTTGAAGGGAGTTAGGAAGTCGGGCCAACAGTAATAACTTGTAGGAAGGGGGAATGGTTGAGTGTCGGGGTGATGGAGGGAGAGTTCGATGGTTGGGGAGGGGAAAGGAGACGGTTTGAAAGGAAAGATACAATCACCACCTCGGAAAGGATACAACCGAAGCACCGCTAACTCCTCGAATTCAACCCACGAAGAGGAAATTGACTACACACGGGGGATCCAAAGTTGAATACACTCAGAATTGACTCCCTACATAACTAGGCAGCAATTTATAGGCTCAAAGTAAACTTCTGCACAAAAGGGATAGGTGGGAAGCCAAGAAGAATCCAGAAATCACTTCCCAAAAGGAAAGGATACAACCGAAGCACCGCAAACTTCTCGATTTCTCTCCCTGTCGCTGGTTCTCCCGCCAAAAAATCCGGTGCAAATAGCCTTGCTGGATCGCGAGAATTCTCGATTTCTCTCCCTGTCGCTGGTTCTCCCGCCTTTGGGAAGCCGCGGGTCCCTGCTCCGCTTCGCGCGGTTTTGTGGGGCTTCAACCCCGCTGTGTCGAAGCAACCCCCACCGAGGCGGCATACACATTGCTATATTTGGCTTTCTTGAACTTCATAATTCATATATTATGCTGATGGTCGGGTAGAAGAACTATTCTGCATCTCATGTTCCATTTTTACTAGGCATAGTGATGAGCATATCTGTATATTGTTTAATGAATTTTAAAACTATGTCAATCTTCATATCTAATAAACTAATTAATACATTTGTTAACTGAGCACGCACATAATTATGTTGTATTTCAATCTTTTGAGTCAAGTAAAAGCTTGACACTTGCATGGATTTTGTGAGCCACTCTGTACCATTAAAAAGCATTAGATAAATTACTTTATTGCATGAATACACCAATTCTACTGCAGTTTTAAATCAAAAGAAAGGATCATAAACTTATATTAGGAAGGTTGCCGAAGTGTATTAAATTGAAGCTGCCTGCCCTAATCAGAGCTTTAAATTGATAATGTTGGATTGTGCATTTATACTAGAATTGGCTTTCTGGATTATCCTTGATCCATTTGACTTTTATTCAATCGGTCCACAGTCATTTTATGTAGCCAAATTTAATTGTGTGTGGTAAATTCACAACTCCTGCATGAAGAGTCTGCTGGTGTTTCTATGATATAAACATTTCCTTATATTCCTTTTCTCATATTATTTTTTAATTCCTTGTAATCTTATTTGAATTTTATGCTGGCATTAGGCAGAACACATACTGCAACTTCAGAAGCAGCTCAGTTTACTCGGCGGGAAGCCAACGAAAGATACCGGCACCAGCACCAGTGATTCTGTCACAGGCACAGTATCTGTCAATAATGTTAGTATGGTGTTCGTGTTAAATTAGCTTTCGTGACACCGAATATCATCTTTTCTTTTATTTGGATGTTTATTCATGGATTCAAATCTTAATGGCAGCTTCGGTCGCAATTAGATGATGCTGTAGCAAGTGAGTGCCCATTCTGCGGCGAATTAATGGTTTGCGAAATATCAAAGCCCTTCATCTTCCCTGAGGAGTCAGAGCTCTTGGCTTCTTGGCAGATTAAACCCCAGTTTGCCACTCAGAAAATTCTTGCAATGTCGATGTCAATATGACTGGTGGTGGACTCTCTCTATATCTCTCACTATCTTCCTCTCTTACCTTAACTAACCAACAATCAACTAAAAATCACAGCCACATCACAAAAAGCTATGTGTGTTCTCATCCATCTGTTATGTTTTTGCTTTTTATTTGTATAATTTTAGGATTGATATTCTTTTTTTTGTTTTATTTTAAATTTGCATAGTTGTTTGCAGCTGATACATGTAATTTGATAAAGTCAATTGTTGAGTTATTGTTAATATTATTACTTCATGTTCACAAAATGAACATATAACTTAGTTGAGGATTGACCATAAATGATTTATTAGAGTATAACTTTTGAATAGCAGTAAGATGAAATTGAGATTGTAATCACAGCAGAAATTACAATCTGGAACATAATTTTATACATGTTTAGTTAGATTATCTTACATTATGATCATGGAGAGACCAAAATATTTCACTAAGCATTAGAAGGGTAAATTTATAACTATAATCATGCACAAGTATTATTGTCATGTGGCTGGAAAGATTATTATGCGTATTCTCATCGATTTCTATGTTTCTATTTTTCTACTTTCAGGATATATATATTTTGAAAGCCCAAAGGCTAATATATTAAATAAAAAGTATGGTACATATAGATTTTGTGGAAGGTTCTAAACATGGCACCCAACCCACACAAAAATCACCAAATCAAATTGTTCAAAAAAAGGAGAAAATACAACAAAAAACATAAGATATCTAAATAAAAAACCAAAAGGTAAACATGGCACCCAGCCCACAAAAAAATCACCAAATCAAATTGTTCAAAAAAAAGGAGAAAATACAACAAAAACATAAGGTATCTAAATAAAAAACCAAAAGGTGCCAAAATAAGAGTATCAGGTAGCTCGAGAGCGACCCGATTTTGTGCGGCCTCTGCCTCTAGTTCTAGGGAAGGAGCTAGCTAATAAACTAGTCAGATGAGTGTCATTGCCAGTAGTAACTAATGTATCATCAAATAGATTCCCTAGCTCGAGTCGTCCGATTTTTTTCATCCTCCTCGTGTAGACCTGTCATTTCTCATCCGAAGATTGGCTGACCTGAACAGCAGAATGGCCTGAAGTGGGTATGATATGTGTAGGTTGTTGAACATTAGAAACAACTACTTGTTGTTCCAGCTGATCTTCTATCGGGTCAAAGGAGCACTCTTATGTATCTTAGCATGTAAGTGAGTCGTCTTCAATAACAGTAAGTGGTATCAACACATTTGGAGGCATGTAAGTGGGTCATCTTCAATAACAGTAAGTGGTATCAACACATTTGGATCTGTACCTATATTATGGTGTTCTTCATCAGGAACTGCAGTGTTGGCAAGGGGGGATCCACAGGCAAATCGAACATCAAATACTGTCTTGTGGGAACTGCAAGCGATAACAAATAATATAACTATGACCAAACATACTATAATGAGAGCAATAAGGAGAATGTGGTTCTATTTCAAACTTTTGCCAATACCCGTTGTGAATAGTGTCAATATATATCTCATCCTAATATATGTATGTATGTATATATATATATATATATATGTATATATATATATATATATATATATAACACGATCGAAGGCTAATTGTATTGAAATTGAAAAGTTTCATAAAGGTTGTATGAGAGGACCCAATAAAGGTGTCATGCCCATACGTGACCCAATAAAGGTGTCCTGCCCATACGATACACAGACACTAATATCTTAAAAAAGATAAAATAGATAAAACTCTAAAATTCGTAATTCGCAGAAAACCAGTTGCTAGGGACGAGCCAGTTTGGTCCTTCCTCTGCCTCTGGTTCTAGGAACGGAGCTAGCTAACAAATTGTTGAGTGTTGTGTCATTACCTGAAGTTACTAAAGTATCATCCATTAAGTTCCCAAGCTGGGGCGTGCCTCTATTCTTTTTTTTCTTCCTAGATATGTATACCTGTCATTCCTCATCCGAAGGTTGGCTCATTTGATCAGTATGATCAACAGATTGTCGGGCATGTAGAAGAGGATGAGCCCCTAGCTCCTGATTAACAGTAACAACATTCTCATTATGAAGAGATGGTAAATTTGTCTCCTCAGCACCTGATTCTTCTTGAGGTTGTGGAGCTGCGATACTATCCTGATTATTGGACCGAAGAATATCCTTTAGAGGTAAAGATCTTGCAGTATTATTTTCAATAGTGATAGAGACTGTAGAATGCCCAAGTGAACCATCTGTCAATACATCAGTCAGAAGAACACAAATAATATTGTCTCCGGTAGTGTATATATATATATATAATGACTAAAAAGGAAGGAAGGATAATAGGAAAGAAAGAATAAGAAAGGAAAAGAGCATATCCAGTAGCATTTTTACTCTGAGGTTTTAGATTTAGATGCAAATGATAACATTGAGAAAGAGAGTGTTCAAACATCCAACAGTGGGTGCAATAAAGAGGTATTTGTTCAAGTTCTGCTTGCTGCCAAAATCCCTGATGTTGTGTGCCAATACATCTCTCTTGGAAAAGGTAAACTAATATCCCGTTTAATCAAAATTCTAGGCTTCAGAAGGCCGATTCAGATTCACTGTAGGCATATCAGTTTTGAGAGGTTTACCGTATACCATCGCTAATGCGAAGTGGAACTCTTGATCGTAAATGTGAACCTTCAAACCTGGGAAGTGTAGCCAAACAGGAATGGTAGGAGGTTCAGCATGAGGGTCAAAATCCACCGTCCATTTTAAAACATTCATCACATGGTTGTCTATTCGAAGGAGTCTTCTCGCAAACAAATGAGCGTAGTCTGTTTCATTTGATAATTGAATGAGAATGTGTCAACCATCCAATTTACCAATCTTCCAACCCCCTTTCAGATTCATTTGCTCAAAATCCTTTCGAATTAGCTCAAGTTTAGGGTTTCCATAAAGAAACTTACCTACTAAGAACAGTCGGCAGGGCGCAGCTAGGGTGGAGATCTCGGCCTCTGTGAGAAAGATAACAGGTTTGCCATTTTTACGGGATGCTTTTTGAGAAATCTGGTTTTAATGCCAAGAGCAAAAGTATCGTGGTAACTTTGCAGAAACATATTTGAAAGAGGGGCGGGAGCGGGGTTATCATCGACGAGGGCGGTGGCATAGGAAAGAACCCCTGAGGCCATCACCTTGGCCGGTGCTTCACTGCGTGCGCACTGTCGCTGAGCAGCGAGATGCAGTCTGCGACCGAGGACGAATGCACTTGACGCAGATGACAAGCGGTGTGCGAAGCAGCAAAACAAAGACGTGCGACGATTGCAAAGAAGGCAGACGGAAACAGTGACTTGTGACAAGGAAGCGAAGCAGCGACGAAATAGCGACGACGCGGTGCTGGTGTAGTTGTCCAGAGAAGACCAAGAACGAAGAAGGCTCGGTAAACAGCGAGCGAGATTGTATCTGAAGCCGAAGAAACAGGAGACACGCACAGAGACGA